CACAAACAATGAATCTTGGAACACTACATCAAAAACTAATGATGTAATGTATGGTGATTAACATAATAATAAAAAATTTAAAAAAAAGATATGAGGTAAGGTATTGGGGTGAAGTTAGACAACTCAAGGGAATTTGCTATATAAGGGAATACAGAACGGAGTGGTAGAGGAGGGAGAAGATTGAGGGAAAATTTGTTGAGATGGAAAATACAACTGCATGTTTGTATGTTGATGAACAGGATCCACCAGAATGGAAAAATTTTATAATGAGGGGAGAGAAGGAATAGCTGAAGTTTTGTTCTTTTGTTTAAAAAAGGATGAAATCCAGTGCATAAGTGAAAGTTTGGCCATACTTGTTAAGAGTATGGGCAGTTTTTTATAGAAATTTAGGAGACATATTATATGCTGAAAGACACATTGGGTAGGTAAGTCAGATGATGATGATGATGATGATGATGATGATGATTACCACCTTTGAGCCTTATTTTCAGCCTCTTTCCCATATTGTCTCTGAGTTCACAGTATTCTGAGCCTCTCCATACTGCCTATATGCAATGACTTCCCTGGATGCTTTGCTTCAATTCCTTCAATTAGTTCTCATAGCAATTCAGAGAGGTATAATGCATCTTCCCTCTAGCTATCATACCAAGAGATCTTATTCCCATCTTTCACATAACGAAATGCACAAAGTCACACAGATGATAAACAGCAGCACCATTTTCAAATCCAGCCATTTAGACTTACTTAAGTGACATATGTTTAACCATTATAGGTTATAGGAACCACACTCTACTTATGTATAGATTGGATATAGACTTCCATTCAAAAGACTTTGTAAGTTATTATGTGCATGTCTTTATATAGAAATTTTATATTTAAATTTAATAACATTCACATTTTTTTCGCAGTAGAGTGAGTGATCCTAACTGTATTTCAGAAAGATAACTAGAGATGGTGAGAAGGATGGATTAGAAGGCAAGAAGCTATTGTCAGAGATCAGATCAGTGATGATGGAGATGATAGAATAAAGGGGGCATTGCTGAGCTGTGGCCGAGGTAGACTTGACAGGACAGAATGACTAATAGCAGAGCCAAGAGGCCAGGAGGAGTAAAATATGACTTGGGTTTTTTGTTTGGTCAACAGGATGGAAGGTACTAACATATACCAAGAAAAGAGAGGAAAATATATTTGAGAAGACAGTGAGTATGGTTTGGGGTAGGGTAAATTTAAGGTGGCTCCAGGAAATCCATATGGCTACATGAAGACAATTGGGCAAGAATTATTACCTCCAGTTTTCTTAGCTGCACACACTGAGATTCAAAGACTGCCAGGCTCATCATAAGGTCACAGAGTCAAAGAGCTGCAGATGAGACTAAAACGAATGCCTACTTCTTTGTGGTAATGAGTGATCTTAGGGAACATAGGCTCTATGTGTATTATGTTTATTTCTTTCATTTTAAAGTCAGGTCAAATTATGAAAGAAAAGAGAAACTTAAAAATGATATACTTTATTGCTGTGGACTAGAAAGGAAATCATTTTGAGACACAGCATGAACAAAGTTGTACTGTTCCTTCTGATTATCATACTGCACTAAACACCACTCTGGCCAGTCCAAGCTATATTGTCCCTTTTGAATCCTGAGGGGCTCCTAAAGATCACTATGAGTTTAGGGCACTCACACACTGGAGAGATTAGACTAAGCCTCACACTTGAATCCTGGCTTCTCCCCACACACTTTCTACTGGTACCTCAGTTGGCACAGGATTACTTGTGACAGCCGTCTATTTCATTCTTCTACAGAAGAACGAACGGTGAAAGCCAGGATTCGTTTGAACTCAGCTCAATGAACAAGTGGGTCCCACTAGGGCACTTGCCATTTTTCTCTGTCTTTCCTTCTACTTCTCTCTGTTGCTTTCTTTTCACTCTCCCTCTCAACTTCTCCCATGCTGCCACCAACCCCCAAAATATAACATCTTTGTAGATGTATCAAACAGGTTACATTTCCCTTGGCTGGTAAACTTTACAGAAAGTGAATGCAGTCTGCGTTCAAGGATGAAGGAAGAAACTGCCTCATCCCAGAATACCCTGCCTACCAATGGGGGTCCATTTTAGACTGGTTCTATATAGGAGGAGGTTTAATATGGAAGAAAAGATATGGATCTCAGGATTCAGCCAAATCAACAGACCAACATTTATGTAGATCCTAGTTGCCCTACCAAAATCCTCATCTCTTGAGGAACATAATGATGACATTCCATCCTTATGTGAGAGGCACAGTAGGTTTGCAGAGTACATTTGTAAATAGGTGTTGTTCTCTACAGAATTTTGGGATTTGGAAACACAGTGTTTCTCTGAAGCAAATTGAGCTTTTACATGTTGATCTCTTTGGCTGCCTTTAATTGGCAATACAGAAAACCCAAATGTTGATGAGGAGAGAAAGTAAAAAAAAATGCCCAAGGAATAGAATGGAAAGGTCTATTAAGAAAGCTTCCTTGCTTTTCTGATTCCTTCTTTTTTTTAAAGTTTTTATTTAAATTTCAGTTAGTTAACATATTAGTAATATTAGTTTGGGTGTCTGATTCCTTCTAAGTGAAATGTTTACAGAGTGGCTTTATGCTTTAATCTTTTTTTTCAAGATTTTATTTATTTATTTATTTATTTATTTATTTATTTATTTATTTGACAGAGAGAGAGAGAGAGAGCACAAGCAGGGGGAGCAGCAGGGAGAGGGAGAAGCAGGCTCCCACTGAGCAGAGAGCCTGACGTGGGGCTCGATCCCAGGACCCTGGGATCATGATCTGAGCTGAAGGGAGACACTTAACCAACTGAGCCACCCAGTGGCCCCTATGCTTTAATCTTAAATAAAATTTCCCAAACCCAAACATGTTTATATTCAAATGTACTTCCTCAACTGTCAATAATTAATGATATATAATAATGATACCAGCCATATAGGCATCCAAATAAATATTTCAAAATGCCATTTCAAACGATATGGCAAACTAGATACTATATGAAAAACCCTTCTGTTATGGCACATCTAAAATGCAGACTCAGCTGAGCATGGAGCCCGATGTGGGGCTCCATCTCATAACCCTGAGATCACAACCTGAGCTGAAACCAAGGCTCAGATGTCTAATTGACTGTGCCACCCATGTGCCGCCACAATTTATTCTTATAGAAGAAATTGGAATTTACCCAATATCAAATTAGACTTACAAATCAAACTTCAAAGTCTTAAAATCATGAAACATTTCAAGGAGAAAGTGTTGAGAAAAATCAAGAACAATAATAGATTGTAATCTTGAAACCAGACATATACAGAACACATCTGCCTACAAGTGGCAAGTGAAAAGAGGAACAACATCGGGTGTCTGGGTGGCTCAGTTGGTTAAGTGTCAGACTCTTGATTTTGGCTCAGGTCACAATCTCAGGATTGTGATATCTAGCCCTGCATCAGGTTCCACACTTAGCATGGAGTCTGCTTAAGATTCTCTCTCTCCCTCTTCCTCTCGTCCTCCTCTCTCTCTCAAATAATAAATAAATAAAACCTTTAAAAAAGAGAGAAATAATAATTTCTACCAAATATTAGATACTCCTGTATGGCCTTTACATATGCAACCTAATTTAATCCTAACAAAAACTTTGAGAGCTAAGTATTATTATTCACTCTTTATTATACAGTAAAGTCAGGCTCAGAGAAATTATGTGGTTTTCTTGAGATCACATGATGTCAATGACAGAGTTGGGATTACAACCTGGCCACTGTGGTTCTTTCATATCCTGTTCTGTTAATATACAGCCTAATTCTGTTTTCTGTTTATCACTTTGAAAATCAAGGAAATAAAAAAAAAAAAAAACCTGGTTATTATATATTCACATGCTTGTCTTCTTTCAAGGAAGTTTCCTATAAATCCTATAAATGACTTTATTTGATGCTTTAAACAATCCCACTTTAAAAAACACACACAGACCATGGAGGTATATTATCTCTGCATACTGATCAGTGATGGGCAGAGCTGAGATTCCACATGGTCTCCAAAGTCCCTGCTCAAGATCTCCTGCAGTTGCCTTTATGCCACAGTATACATCTAAAGAGATGGTGGATTAGGTATGGGTAGCACCTACCTGTTGTCACCTTCTCTGGAGAAAAAGACCGTGAAGGTTTGAATGTTCCCTTTTGCTTCTGCAGGTGGGCGCCAGCTGAGACGGACAAACCGACTGGAAACCAACACAGGGACCACATCTCTGGGAGCAGAAGGGAGGACACTAGAGCTTGGGATAGCTAGGGAGGAAGAAGAGGAGGCTGTCAGAGGTGTTGGTGCCATGGACGGGAAATGTGCAGGAAGGCAAAACATTAGCAAACATAGAATGGTCCATTCTAAAGGAAGGAAAAAACACAAGGGAAAGCCATCAAACTAATGGAATCAAAGATATATTAGAATTCCTTGGAGCTTATGAAAGGGTGGCTAATTAATAACATATATGATTCTACTGCATATTTGTCCAATTTCCATTTCTAACGGGATCCATAACAAAAAATGTTCTGTTTAGGCATGACACAGAGACACATAGCCATGGATAAATGCCTCAGGTAACCAAGCAGTTATTGTAAAACCTTATTCTACTCAGAGACTGTTTATCCTGTTTTAGATACAATTTGAAGGAACAGCAAATCAAAGTCAATGGAAGCTAACCAAAAGTAGAAAGAGTTCTTACAGACTACCTGCTGGAAAGGAACTGACAGAAAAAAAATTCTACCAGACATAAAGATACACAATTGTCCCACGCTTGGAGAGTAAAGTCAGTAAAGTCAGGCATGTATGGCAAAATTTAACAATTGTTATTCACAGGAATAAATCATCCACAATTGAAGAGTTCATTTTTTAAATATTTGGGGCATTTATAATCTATAATAGAATTTTCTATTAAATGTGTATATTCATAATTCATCTTCTTATTTTTTTCAAGTTCCCAAGGGTAGGAAACATATGTTTCATTTTGACAGGTGATTTCTAGCCCCAAATCACAAAGACCCATTTGCCTACATTTAATCTTCAAACTGGCTTTTGTGGGCTATTTTTTCTAGTTCTTATCAAAATTAGTCTCCATCCTTACATTCACTTTCTCCAGGGGCTGGCTGAATCACTATTCCTACTGTGCACTCACTCCTGTTAGCTAGAAAATCCACTGGGGTGAGGGCAGCTCTCTCATTTCCCAATGGTTCCAGAAACGTTATCAATGGATAATACATACCAGTTACATACAGAAATAAGTTTTAAAGAACTGCAGAAAGCTTTCAGAGTTATTTCTGGCTCCATATATTCGTAGCCAACTTCTTTATATGTAAAATTTCCCCTTGCTTTTTTGGTCAACACAGTATTTGAAACAAATGATAGGCGGGCAGCAAGTTAGTCAATCTTTTGTGGAGAGTGGTGAGGGGAGAGAGAAGATTGATGCCCGGATATGTAGCATCTGTCTCAAAAATGTGGGTGATATTAAGTCTCCTGACAAAAACCTGTACTTCCACATACCATGGACATCTCAAAGTAGCACACTTTATGTGAATTTATCCTCCCCACCCCCTTCACTGTCCACTCAGCCTGCTTCTCCTCCTGGGCTGCTCAACTCAGTTGTATCTACACTGTCCTCACAACTGTACAGCCCAGAAGCCTAAAAGGTATCCCCTACCCCTGACTCTCTCTCACTCATCCTTTCTAGGATTCCTCCTCCTGGACATCTGGTAAACCTACTCCATGTTAGCTCCACCGCCACACCATCATTCTGTCTTCCTAGAACTGTCACAGCTATCTCTGCTTTCTCCAGCTCCTCTGCTTTCCTTCCACTCATCTCCCTCAAATGTATTCTGTGTACAGACAGCATCCTGAGTAAGCTTGTAAAAAGACACATCTGGTCATATTACTCTACTATTTATTTATCCTCAGGGTCTACTCTTTACCTCAGGAAATCCCTAAACTTTGAAATGGGCCTATTGGCCTGGCTCTTGTTGATCACTTTTCTTAGTTTGGTTTCCTCCACAAGGAGGCCCTGAGAAATGGATTTAAGTGCAAATAGTTTATTTGGAAGGTGATCCAAGGAAGTAGGGAAGTGAGACAGCAGGGAGTAAAGGCTAGAAAAAAATGACTTAGCTGCCAGTTAGCACTGTGAGAAACTGGATGGCAACTCCACGGGGGGCTCTGTGGGCCAGTGTGGCCCCAGCCTCTAGGTTATCTGTTTTGAAAGAAGCGGGCTGAGGTGATTATCCACCACTCCTCCACCACTGATTGAGGGTGATTCCAAGGGCCATCCTGTATAACAGCCTAGTGTATTTCTGTTGCCAGAAAAATACCACTTTGGGGAGAGGCTTGCAAAGTTTCCACAGTAAGCAGCATCCATTAGCTCTACTCATCCAAAAAATATGCCTATCCAATGCCAGCCCTTCTAGGTACAGAGGAGTCAATGGCAAAAAAATAGGCGAGGGCATTCCTCATCAAGCTCACATGGAGGCTCCCTGGCTTTCTCCCCCCGCATCAGATAGGGAATGTGCTCAGTTCATAACAAGGTTTGAGGGAGGAACATGCCACACAATAGCACGAACACCTAATCATCACACCTATGAATGATAAGAGGATCTGGAGGCTCCTTAGCTTTTTGCTGCTTGCACTAAGCAGGCTCTCCCCATGTGGATCCACTTTTGACTCCCCGAAGACTTCCCATAGCAGCTCCCACTCTAACAGACCCATCTCATCCACCTAACTCCTACTGTCCCCCTTCACTTAGTTTAGTGTTATCTCCTCTGGAAAGAATGACCCAAAGTATTTGCAAAATATCTAACAAATGATAGTTAATATCTATAATACAAAACAAGTCCAAAAATCAATATAATAATAAAGAATCTTATCTTAAAGTAGGGTTCAACATGACAGTAAAAGAAATGTGCATTAAAATAAAATCTAAAAAGTCTGTCAGAATAAAGTATATTAAAAAAAATCTGTCAGAGTAGTAAGACTTTAAAGAATGTTAGTATCTAGGGTTGGTCAGGATGTGACACTCTCTTACACTGTCAGCTGAAGTTTGTAAGAGTAGCCTTTTTAGCAGATAATTTGGCAAAGTCCTTTAAAATGAAAAATATTCATACATCAGACTATTCTCAGGTTTATAAATTTATCATCTAAAACACCCCCAAGTAACCCCTTTATCCATGCATCCTTGCAAAATCATAGCTCATTTTCTCAAAATGTAATACCTATATATCTTCCAGTTTAAAGCAAATGGGATCATTACTAGATTTTTTTTCTACAAAAGATTTTCTAAAAACAAAATGTGATCCATGATGACTTACAAAAATCTTTTGAGAATTCTCAAGAAGTTAGACAAATTCGTTTTAAAAGAACAGGAGAGAAATGTTCAATTCCTTTTTCCCCAAAAGCCCCTCACTTAGAGATGGTATCGCATAAAAAATGAGGTGGTTTCCCCACCTATTCAGGGGCTGCCGAGAGGGAGAGCAATGGGAGTCTGCGCACGGATGCTTTTCTCCTCAGGCTTCCAAGAGTGCCTTCTCACAGAGCTAGTCTAGACGCAGATGACACAGATAAAGCTCAGAATAGAATTAATCATGGACTCTTTTACCTCAATTTAAACAGTCCTCATATGAAAAGGGACAGACACATTTTTAACAAAGGGATGACTTCTTTATACAGGGAATTAATTTTGTTCTTACTAATCCTCAATGCTTTCTCTCAACAGTAACTCCTCTCCACATAACATCTCAATAAGGAATCAATCAGGACTTTTTTTCTTTGCTCTTGGAGGCCTAATCTCCAGTCTGGCCCTAATCTCCCTGGCCCTTACTGTTGCCATGGTTACAGCTTCTTTATCTGTTGTCATGGAGAAGAGGAGGTGAATTTACCATACTATAACATAGTCTTTTTTAAAATTTATTTATAAGAATCTCTTTACTAAAAAAAAAAAAAAAGAAGAAGAAAAAAAGAAAAAAAAAGATTATCATAATAAAATCCAGGAAAAGGAAGTGATTTCTGAAAATAACAGAAATTCAAAGAATAGTTTTGAAACTTTGGTTTCTAAGTTACTCGTTACTACTACTACTAGTAGTAGTACTACTACTACTATTTTATGATGTCAGTGCAATAGCCTTGGTAACAATTACATTATTGGGTTAATTTTTTTATAAAGCCATGTCCTGTCTAGATACCAGAGAGTTTGTTTCTCTTAGAATTTTACTATGTAATGTTTACAGACATTAATTTTTCCCTGAGCTTATTAACTGCCTGACCTCTACTCCCTAGGAGGCACATGAATGATGATAAGATGTATTCACAAAAACACAAAAATATTTAATTTGCATTAAACATCAAACAAGCAATAGGCTTATTTCCTTGTCATTCCCCATACTGTTAACTAAGCTACTATAAATGTAACCACCAGATCAACTAGATCTTTTATTCACATCATCTCGTTATTAGCCCGAAGATTTAAGTAAAATATAAATAAGTAACATTAGGGGCACTGGGTGGCTCAGTCGTTAAGTGTCTGCCTTCGGCTCAGGTCATGATCCCAGGGTCCTGGGATCTAGCCCCGCATAGGGCTCCCTGCTCAGGGGAGAGCCTGCTTCTCCCTCTCCC